ATTGATATAAATACTTATAACAAAATTCTAGTAAACTGAACTTAATAATATATATAAAAAATAAAACATCAAGACCAAGTAAGATTTATCCCAGGAAAGCAAGCTGGTTTAACATTAAAAAATCAATCAATGTATTCCACTAAACAAACAGAGGTTAAAAATACAACACACAAGCCCTGGCTGGCGTAGCTCAGTGGATTGAGCGCGGGCTGGGAACCAAAGTGTCCCAGGTTCGATTCCCAGCCAGGGTACATTCCTGGGTTGCAGGCCATAAACCCCAGCAACCGCACATCGATGTTTCTCTCTCTCTCTCTCTCTCTATCGCCCTCCCTTCCCTCTCTAAAAATAAATAAATAAAATATTAAAAAAAAATACAACACACAAAAGGAGAAACTAAAACCCCTATATAAGCATCTCAATAGATATAGAAAAAGCATTTGACAAATTCCATAATCCATTACTAATAAAAACCTTCAGCTAACTAGAAATAGAAGGGTACTTCCTCAACCTGGTAAACACTATAAAAAAACAAACAAATACACTATAACTAACATTATGCTTTCCTCTTAAGATTAGCAATAAGGCAGCCCTGGCTGGCGTAGCTCAGTGGATTGAGCACGGGCTGCGAACCAAAGTGTCACAGGTTCGATTCCCAGTCAGGGCACATGCCTGGGTTGCAGGCCACAGCCCCCAGCAACCACACATTAATGTTCCTCTCTCTCTCTTTCTCCCTCCCTTCCCTCTCTAAAAATAAATTAAAATAAAAAAAAATTAGCAATAAGGCAAGGATGTAAGTTCTCACTACTTCTATTCAACATTGTACTAAAGGTTCTAACTAGTGTAATAAGGCAAAAAAAAAAAGGAATCAAGATTAGAAAGAAAGAGTAGAACTGTCTTTATTCATAGACAATTTGATAGTCTATGTAGAAAATATCATGGAATCTATAAAAAAGCTATTAGAATTAAGTGAGTTTAGCAAGATTATAGAATATATGATCAATATACATAAATCAATTTGTATTTCTATATATATATAAATAATAAACAATTGAGCATAGTTTTTTAAAATACTATTTACAATTTGATCAAAAATATAAAATAATTAGATGTACATTTAACTAAAAAAATGTGCAACACCTATATACTGAACACTATAAAACAGCACTGAGAGAAACTAATGATCTAATTAAATGGAGAAATATACTGTGTTCATGTAAATAAACTTGGTAATATCAGAAGAGAGGAATGGAGCCCTGGCTCAGTTGCTTTAGCTCTGGCCTGAGAACCAAAATGTCACCAGCTGGATCCCCAGTCATGGCACATGCCTGGGTTACAGGCCAGGCTCCCAGTTGGGGGCAGACAAAAGGGGGCGGACAAGGATTGATGATGTATCTCTATCACAACAATGTTTCTCTTCCTCTCTTTCTCCCTCCCTACTGCTCTCTCTAAAAATAAATAAATGAAATATTTTTTTAAAAGGAGAGAGGAATGGAGAATGGGTAGTGGAAGAATAACCTAGAATTTAGTTAATGATTTATGTCATATAAAAACAGTAACAAGTATAAAGAATTACACATTCAAGCTTTATGAAGTGTAACTCCACAATCTCTCAAAAGTGAAAAGTGAATTGTTTGCAGGAGATACTCTGAACTGAATGACAACACAGAAGAAGGCACTGAGAAGAAAATTGGAGGATAAAATAAATAAGATGTGATGTTTGCCTTTGTAAACCAAGGCAAGATGAACCTAAGAGTAAGATGTACAGCAATGGAGATTTACATGAAAACCTCACAGAAGCCTTTGAAACCAAATGACACCTTGTTAGAACAAGCCTTGCAAATACAAGGATACAAGGTTTTCAAATTGACTATGACAAACACTTTAAAGCATTCAAGATAGGCTTTAGGGTAGGAACATTATATTAATATTTTAAAGAAGAAGAAAAGAGATTTGCTTTGTAAATAATCACGAACCTAAAGGCGGCTACCAACTGAAAAAGGGCAATGATGTCAAAATTAGTTATTAGTAAACAAAATTTAGGTTCTAGAAAAAGTTCTTAGGATTACAAATCAAGTACATTTTTCTCCAATTTTATAAGATAGTTGTTTACTTGTATTAACAACATTCCATCATCACCATCAAAAAATAAACTTTACTGTAGACATTAAGTGTCATCTCTTATCATAAAATTTTCAACTGGAATAAGCATGCCAAGTAAGATTTTATTGTTCAATTAGTTTTCTGTATTTTCTCCCCATCCCCCTCCCCCCGTCCAAATAAGATTTTGAAAGCATTTAAGCTAACTTAACTTTTGCTGGGATATTTTACTTCTACATGTTTAAAATGAAAATGTCCATAAAGGAATCTGAATATATAAAATAACAGATTTCATTAAAATGTCTTAAACTTCTTACATCCTTAGTAAATTTTAAAGTAACACATTTTCATATTCATGCTGTTAAGGATAACAGTAATTAATACAAACATCAAGAGCAATCATTGTAGGAATACTGGTCATTTTTATACAGCTTGGCAAATTATCAAATACCTGCTGCTTATTAATTTTCAAACATATGGGAGCCCTGTGGTAATACACATTAAATTGACTGTCTTCCACAAATATGGCATAATGAAAAAATGAATTATTAATCTTCTCTATAAGAAATCACTTAACTCATTCATACTTTTGGCAATGTATAACCTAAATACAAAGTCTTCTATATAGAAACCAATTAAAAACTTTAGTAAAATGTTATATTGAAATGACCATGAAATTTAGGCCATTATTCCTTCTAACCCTATGCTTACATGTGCAATACACTTATTATTTTATGTAAGTTGCTAAACTTTCATTTCTTTAAAACTAGTTAGATTCACAAATGTATATAATACATGCATTCTCACATAAAAAACATCATTTCATTAAACAACTAAGAACTTTACAAACCATGGATATCTCAAATCAGATTGCAACTGAAAGATGAATAATTTTCAATCAATTTATTTTTTTCTCAATTTCACAAAATATATGGCTACCTTAACGGACATCATATGTCAAGTTTAAAAGTATTTTTTCAATAATTGTTTTAAAAATTATGATTTGTATACATTTCATTTGCAGTCAGATTTCTTAATGTTTGTAAGTTAATAGTTTTCTAAAATCTAATGCTGTTTTTTTTTGAAGGAAGAGCAGGGAAAAAAATCTACTATAACATTAACATTTAGATTGTGTATTGATTTTATTACATAAATGCCCTGAATACCTGATCCAACTACTGACTTGCCTCAAAATCATTACCAATTATGTTAGTAATTAGTCATAAAAATACAAAAATAATCTAAATTAAAATTAAATATCCTAAAATAAAATAATTTACAATGATATTCAAGAACTCAACATGAAAATCTACATAAAATAATGTGAGGTGCTAAAGCAGAGAACTTCCAAGTCCCAATGACATCCCAAAAGAAAACTGCAGAGTAATATAATCTATTACACTGCAAAAATCAGATCTTCCCCCAGTGAGCTATATCACACTAAAAAAGGAGAATTCAAAGGAATGAAATGGTAGTAAATGAATATATTAATTTAATAGGACTTTGTGTTAAATTATCTGTCAGAAAATACTTAGGTTCTTTGGCTTAAAAAAAAAGACATAGCATAATCAATAAAATATAATTAAAAGAAAAACAAAAGATAAAAAAAGAAGACGTTCTCCAACGACAACATACAGATGGCCAACAGACATGGAAAGATGCTCAATGTCATGAATCATCAGAGAGGTGCAAATTAAAACCACAATGAGATATCACTTCACACAGGTCAGAATGGCCATCATCAATGAATCGACAAACAAGTGCTGCAAGGATGTGGAGAAAGAGAATACTTTTTGCATTGAGGAATACAGGCTGGTACAACCTCTGTGGAAAGCAGTATGGAGATAACTCAAAAAATTAAAAATGGATCTGCCTTATGACCCAGCAACCCCATTTCTGGGAAAGTATCCAAAGAAACTCAAAACACTAATCTGAAACAACATAAACATCCCTATGTTCATTGCAGCATTATTTGCAATCTCCAAGATACAGAAGCAGCCCAAATGCCCATCAGTAGACAAGTGGATAAAACAATGGTGGGACATTTACACAATGGAATACTACTTGGCTGTAAAAAAAGAAAAAAATTTACCCTTTGCAACAGCGTGGATGGACCTGGAGAACATTATGCTAAGTGAAATAAACTAATCAGAGAAAGGCAAATACCATATGATTTCACTTATATGCAGAATCTAATGAACAAACTGAAATAATAAGCAAAAAACAGAGACAGACTCATAGAGAGCAGGATGACAACTATTGGAAGTGGGGAGGGGGAGGTTAGAGGGTAGAGGAATTAAGCAAAAAGGAAATGACTCATGGACATGGACAACAATGTGGTGGCTTACAGCAGGGAGGTGGGTATAAGGGTTAAATGGTAATGGAAAAAATACAATAAAAAATCTTTTAAAGACTTCAATGCTAGTCTATATTAATAATAGTACCATATACCACAATGAAGGAATATTCTTCCTGAAATATGTTAAGTAATTCTCATGTTTAAAATATGTGAAGGGTGTAGCAAAAAGCATAAGTTTTTAACAATCATAAATATATTCCAAAAGTGTTCTCTTTTATCCCCATTTTGTAAAATCTGGAGCCATTCTAAAGCTGAATATAAAAAGATATGCTATACTGTTGACTACAGAATACTAAAAAATTTTATTGCCATTTAAACAAAGAAGCCATAACAGTTAAATGAGCTTAAGAAATAGGTTTCAGTATCACAAGGTGCCAGCTGTAAAGAGTTATGGCTAATTGAATATGGAACTCCTGCTTAATCAGATAACTGCTCTGCTATTTCCAAATGAAATGCCATTTCCATACTGTCTGAAAATGGCTCGTTTTATTGGTAACCGGAGAAAACAATATAAACTGTAAATAACATTAAGTGCTCTGTTTACCCATTCCAGGCACTGAAGTGGCAGGGGATCCAAGACGTCTCGGTAACACATTTGATGATAGGGCTGGAGTAACCGTTCTTTCTGGGGGTCCACCAGGGGCTGAAGTGTCCTTTGCTGGTCCAGGAGTGACTGAAACTTGTGGAGGAGGGCCCTGGCTAGAGCTTGCTGGTGTTGGAGAAAGGTTTCTTTGAGCTACAGTTCGCTGACGAATCTCTGGGAATAAGAAGTATATACTAAATTTAATATCCAATATACCACATCAGCCAATATCACAAATACTACTTAAATTAAATAAAGTTTTGTGCCACCAAAAGGCATCTGTAGAGCCAATATGCTTGTAATAAGAAGTCTATAAAATGGAACCTTGAAAACTGACTATAAGAGTACTCCATTTCTGAACCTACAAGTCAATCACATATATTTTACAAACCAAGCCTTGATCTCACTCTATTTACTGATATCACTTGTCAAAATAAATTAAAATAAAATCATCATCCAAGTATGTGTCATGTCTTTTATAGCAGTCCTTCCTAATACATGATAAAGTAAGCATATCAGAATTAGTGAAAATCCTACTGGAAATTGCAGATTTGTTTTTCCAGATAAAAATAATGTTAACTCTATGAAATGAATGAATAAATATATTCTGGAATTATCAAATAATTTATGAGGTAATTAATCTAAGTGGTCATAGAAACGTCAATAAAGATATTCTTTACTATTAGATACCATGTCTGTTCTCCATCATACTATGGCTATCTTTTTTTAGTAAATTTCTTTTTGCTAATATATTCAAAGGAAAACTTCCACCTAAAATAATGTATCCTCATAAATAAATCTTATATTTAGTTGTAGAAATTACAAGATTTTCTGTAATGGGTTGGCAAACGTGCCACATCCAGGCTGCTGCCTCTTTTTGTAGTTTTACTGAAACACAATAATGCTCTTTTGTTTACATACTGTCTATGGCTGCATTAAAAAAGAGTTGAGTAGTTGCAACAGAGACCATATGGCTCTCAAAGCCGTTTACTCTATTTACTATCTGGCCCTTTACAGAAAGTTTTATGATCCCCTAACTCAATAACATAAAATTCAATTCTATCATTCCCCATTCCCACCAATACCTTACTTGAATGTTGATGGTAACATCTCAAGTAAAGAAGCACTTATGGCTTTTTTAATTCTACATATCACAGTGAATTATTACAAATCTTGAAGTAGTGGGCTGAAACTAAAGAAATTAAATTTTAATTGGCATGATTGGCAAAAATGCACATTTTCACAAGCAAAATAGATTTGGACTTTATTTGACAGTTAAAGATTTTCATGAAAAGTTCATTGCAATCAAACGTACAGCTCTAGCATCAGATTTCAATTTACTACAATCTAATCTACTGGTTAAGAACCTCGGCCCAGTGGTCAGAAATGTTTGGTTAGAATCCTGGCTGTTGCTACATTACCCCAGAGGGATTAACTTCACTAAGTCTATTCTTAACTCATAAGATTGCTATAAAGATTAAATAAAATAGTATCTGTAAATTGAAAGCTCACATTTATTGAATAGTTATCACTTCATGTGACCATGCTTTCACACAATTAAATATTTTCAAATGACCAGATAGCTGTAATTACTGGAACCAACTAATTTTCCACTGATCGTTTTTTTTTTCAAATGTAATGGGTTTATTTTATTTTGCTCGTATGCAAAACCAAAGACTCCACCACAGCACAGAGATCATATACTAATCTCTGTAAAAGGCCATGAAAAAGTAGTGTGGGACACACAGGACGTAATGTACAAACTGGAAAAATGGGTTGTTTCCTTGATAACATGATACTACACTGTTGTTGCTGAGGAACACGTTTAAAATAATACTGTGAAACTGAACTGAAGTGTGGCACAAATATAGTACTAAACACTTAAGACCTATATAATTTTATTAACCAATGTCACTCCAGGCAACTTCCAGGCATGCCTTCCAGCACCTCACTTAGGATGGACTTGCCATCTCTAGACTTCAGTGTGTGGGAGGATCAACAATTCTTTGGAAGAATAAAAAATTCACACTTTTGAAATTATGGAGAAGAATTTTAAGTCCAAAACATAGTGGGTTCATTTCTCTTCATCTCCAGGGATAAGTCTAATGATTTATTCAATACCTCATTAAGCTTCTAGTTCAAATCCCAACCCAAACTTGTGACCTCCTGCATTGAAGTTCTTTCCATTGATTAAAACTGATAGGGTCAGTCTGACTCCTAGTTGAAGAGTCTGAGTATAACTCAGTCCAATCAGGCATTATTTACTTTAATAGAGAGAGAAGTTCTACAATCCAACTTATATTCAGCAGTGATGCCAAAATGGTTGTTGTTATTACCAGCAATGTAGTCTCTAACCTAGCCACTGCAATAATAAATTACAATCATGTCATCATTATATAAATAGAACTGTCTTTATATTTGGCTACTTTCATGCAATTTATATAGAAAATTCCAGATTTTACTTGGACTAGTTGTATCCTAATATCTCCTGCAAGTTAGCTAGTCACTTACTTAATAATCACAAGGAATGTGATAACAAGGAACACCTTAAAAGGTAGTTACACACTAGGAGACCCATTAAATACTACAAAAGGTACTGAGATCAATAAAGTCATATTAAGATATGGTCATTTAAATTAATTTTAAAAAACAAGGCATCAAAGATTATAAATCATTTTTAGGTGATTTCAGATAAAACATAAAAAATGACATTTTATTCCAAATAAAATTTAACATTTATTAGACTACATTAAAAGTAGCTATTATATTTTCACTTCTTAAACAAAGACTTGAGACTGCTTCCTCTGAATGTGCATTTACTCTGTGAAAATTAACCAAAGCACACTTTTAACAGCACTCATGTGTTGGAGCTCCAGTGGCACAATCGGTTAGCACACGGTACTTAACAGCACTCATGTGCTGCTGAAAGGTGAGGTATATAACTACCTAGTAAGCAAAGAACATCATGTCTAGCATTCCATAAGACATTTGGTATGATAACTTCTAAATTTAAATCTAGGCAGAAAGATGGGAGGGTAATGATAAGTTTAAAAGGAGAGGGAAAGGGAGAAAACAGTTTCATCATTTTCAAAGGAAAAGCAGGTACCAAAGACAGTATGGTGATTACCAGAAGGAAAGAGGAGTGGCGGAAGGTAGCAGAGGGCAAAGCAGAGATAAATGGTGATGGAAGGAGACCTGACTTTGGGTAGTGAATACACAATGTACAGATGATGTATTATAGAATTGTATGCTTAAAACCTATATAATTTTATTAACCAATGTCACTCCAATAAGCTCAAGTTTTAAAAGTTACATATCAATAGTTAAAAACAGCTAGTGATACAATCTAAATTTATATTTGGAAAAGTGTTATGAAATATTCTGGTAGTCTCAGTTTAAAACATCTAAGATTTCTCAACTTTTAGCTACTTGCCACTCACAAACGCCCATATTATAACTACACCAAAAAGTTTCTAGTACTCACCAAAGTAGCCATATTAGTTATATTCAACATTTCTTGCATTTAAACATAAAACAGCATCATTCTCCGCCCCCAACACACAAAAGATTTACCAAACATTCCACAACAATCTAGTATAGTATCATAAGGAGTATTCCATCAAGTCAACTCTTCTTTTTTTAAAGACTTCATTTATTTATTTTTAGAGAGAGGGGAAGAGAGGGAGAAAAACATAAATTGGTTCCCTTTTGCATGTGCACCCCCAACTGCAGGCCTGGCCCACAATGCAGGCATATGTCCTGACCAGGAATCAAACTGGTGACCTTTTGCTTTGTGGGACAACACTCAACCAACTGAGCTATACCTGTCAGGGCCCCATAAAAGTCAACTCTTGACAGGAGGATGTTTTAACATCCTTATCAATGACCAATCAATAATTTGATAAAAATCACACTCATTGAATATCAGGAAACATCTACATTTTAAATTCAAAATAAAATATAGTCAAAATGTGTTTAAAAACTACTGCCCTGGCTGGCATAGCTCAGTGTATTGAGCACTGGCTGAGAACTAAAGGGTCACTGGTTAGATTCCCAGTCAGGGCACATGCCTGGGTTGCAGGCCAGGTAACCAGTGGGGGCCATGTAAGAGGCAACCAATCACTGATACTTCTGTCCTTCTCTTTCTCCCTCCCCTCTCCTCTCTAAAAATAAATTAAAAATTTAAAAAAAAACTACTATATGTGAAAGACAAATACCATATGATCTCACTTTTAACAGGAACCTAATCAACAAAACAAACAAACAAGCAAAATATAACCAAAGACACTGAAATTGACAACAGGCTGACAGTGATCAGAGGGGAGAGGGGAGGGAATTTCAGGGGAAAAGGGGAAGGGTTTGTAGGAACAAGTATAAAGGACACATGGACAAAAACAAGGTGGGTTGGAAATGGGAGAGTGGTGGGAAGGGCTGGGGGGGTGAGTTGGGATGGAGGTAAAAGGCAGAAAACTGTACTTGAACAACAATTAAAATTAAACTACTATATGATAATAAACAAAAGGAAGAAAAGTTTAAAATAATGATAACACAGGACAGTTGCTAAAGCACATATTCTGGGATCAAACTGGTTTGATTTAAATTTTAGCCCTGGCTGGTGTGGCTCAGTGAATTGAGTGCCAGCCTGCAAACTGAATGGTAGCTGGTTTGAATCCTAATCAGAGCGCATACCTGGGTTGCAGGCCAGTTCCCCCACTGGGTATGTGCGAGAGGCAACCAATCAATGTATCTCGCACATCGATGTTTCTCTCCCTCTCTTTCCACCTCCCTTCCCCTCTCTTTAAACATAAGAAAATAAAATTTTTTAAAGAATTTAAAAAAGAAAAAGAAAAAATACATTTTAGCTCCACCCATTTATTAAATATACATGCAGCCTTTACCAAGTTGATAACATCTCTCAGTTCAGCTTCCTCATAATAAGAATATTTACCTCTTACAGTTTTTATAAAGATTAAATGAGATGATCAATGCAAAGAGCTTAGCCAGCACACAGAAAAATTACTTAATAAGCAATAACTAACAGAAGTAGTACACATCTAAAGGTTCCAGAGATTACAATAAATCAATAGCTAAGCAATCAAGAATTTCTAAATCAATTACTAAAAACAGTTATTGATTTACAAATTAAATGTTTTCCTAAAGCTATCTGTGAACTT